AAAAGGGGGAGCACATCACACCTGTAGTAAAAATCAGCTGACTCCATGAAGCACGCTGAGGAGGCATGCCACTTGGCTTAGCACATCCTGCACCTGCATTGCTCAAGTTCACTGTGACTTGACCTTTTGCTTTTCCACATATAGACTTTCTCTCTATACTATACACAGTGCAAACAGAGTCCCATAGAAATTCCAGAAGGGTGGGAACATTATCATGAACAGACCTTGCCAGCATCCACATGCTGAGGACCAGGAGGTCATGGTCTCCATACTCATGAGACATCTGCCCTGTTCTGATGAGAAGGGCCCCCACAAAAGCACAGGCAGTCTCGGTCTTGAACAGGATCAAGACCAACCGATGACTCAGAGGGCACTGCCAGTCACTCGCTGCATCCCCAGGGATTATCTGTTCTGTGTGTACTTACCTCCTTAGAATTCAGCCGCACAAAGTACACTTGTCTCACTAGGATATCTTTGCTTTCATTACAGTTACACGCAATACTTCATCCTTTTACGCCCTTCTTCCAAGGGCCTGCAGGCCAGCATGATTCACTCTCTCCTACAGTTGGCATCTCAGAGTCTGCATCTGCACCCAGGACTGCCCCCACTGTGTACAGCCTGCATGGTCTGGGGGCCCACTCTCAGAAGGGCTCCACTTGGTTAAATTCCCTGCTGCGGCCAAATTGAAATGCTTCACAATTTTTTAACAAGAGGTTCCACATTTTCATTTGCACAGAGCCCCCACAAATTATGTGGTTGGTCCTGTCTAGGGGACTAACTGCTTGAAGGCAAATTTCTATGGAGAAATTTCTCTGTCTGAACACCGGGGATGGGAGCCATTACTGAGTGGTTCTGAGCAGCTTTTGGTCACAGTGACCATTTTCACTGTATTCACTTGGAAGGGTGACTGTCAGAAATCTGAAAAGTCAAGCGCTCCAAAAACACTTTCATATCTGATTACCAGCAACTGGTTCAACCAAAAGTTCAGCTTTGGCCTTAACCACACTTTATCATCCAGACAAATGTATAGACAGGCTTCTGCCCCTTCAAGCCTCCTTCAAGGTTATAAACAATATCACCCCCAAATACTAGTTCATAAAGTTTCCCATTCTTTAAGCTTAATATGCCACTCAGAATTTAACAATTTCCTTAGCATTATTTGATGAAGGGTGCGTGGAATTGCATCAGATGTAATAAAAGTCAAGCCCTGTAATTTCCAGTATCAAGCTCTCTCACCAGAGCCTGTACCCACGCAGCTAAGCGGCTCTACCTGAATTGCCAAAGTAGGGGCTCGGGTACCTGGAAAGGAGGAACTAGGTGGAGAAATCATGCTCCCGACTGTGACAGACTTAAAAGGGCCCTCCACAAGGTGAGTGACAAAGGGCTCTGTGTGTTATGCATTGACCTTGTGACATCCCGTCACACACCTCAAGGCCTTCTTCACATTGTGTTGTCATTTTCTACCTGTCCACAGTAAATCCTGACACAAAACTGTCACAGGGCCTGAAAGAACCATTGCCCACTTGCCCTCCAGAGGCCTGATATCAGAGTGCCCCTGGCCACACACCCATTAGCTGGCATGAATAGGCTGTGTTTTCCAGACCTAAAGACAATGCAGCCAATCACCTGTATGTGCAGGTGTGTACATCTGCCATGTGGGGGTAGAAAGTTGGGGCAGTGATAACCTGACTCTTCATCCTTAGTCATGACTACAAAGAACACATACCTCTTTATTTCCCTCTTGGTCTTGCTGAAGCCATCTCTAGAGATTGGGTTTCAAATATGATCTTTATTTCATTGCTCAGACCCAGAAAATATTAATGGCCTCACTCAAATTCACATTAATTTCAAATTGACAGCATAATCCAGCCACAACTGTGCTGTGCGCAGCAAAAACGCTGGATAGGACTGGCCATGGCAGAGCAGGCATGCATGGGGACAGGCAGCCATTGTCTCACTCAGCACCATTGCACAGACCCCTGAACTACTCCTGTGCCTGGGTGAACTCCACCTCACGGGCCTTCACACTGCAGCTTCACACTGTGCCTTCACATGGCTTCTGCAGTAACCAGCAACTCTCTGGCCCTCCCTGAGGCAACAGCACAGCCTTCGTTCTGCAGGTATACTCCGATTTCTGCCTCGACCTTGTTTGTAAAATTGAGAAAATAAACAATACAAAACAAATTCCTCATTTGGAAACTTTTACCTCTCTACATTCAGAAACTCTGAATTTTTGTTTCTAATTCACTGGTGGGAAATATTGGTCCATACAAGGTCACCCTGGAAATCTTGAAGATGTTTCTGTTGCCCACTCCCCACATTGAAACAGAAGCAAAGGCCCACTTCCTTCAGCAAACTTTGGTGAATTGCCTGGCACTCTCTCCAAGGAGGTAACACATTCTTCCTCTTTGCCTTCTGAGCAAAACTTGATAGTTACATGTTTCATCCACTTCTGTAATAAATATTTATCAGGCACTCACTCTGTGGTAGACACTGAACGGTACAGGATTTGCCCCTATCCCTGCCTGCCAGGCACCCATGGGTCAGTCTGAATGAGGCCTTTGAGTGCCTCTGAGCTCCCTGAAACCCAAGCACCCAGCCTGTGCCACTGCCTTGTTCCAAACTCGTATTTGTGACTAAATGCAATGGGTAGACTTCATTTTATAAACAGAGCTTTCTAATTAACAAAGGCATTCCAAAGGCAAAGGGGCAAGTCAGGCATGCTATCAGCTCAGCAGAGTTTGAAAATAAAAATCACTCTGATGACCTGCTCTGAAAAATATTTCCTCCTGCTGATGGATATATTGCCAAGTTGGGGAATATGAAAGACCTCTTTCACATTTTCTGCTGCCTCAGAATATGGCCACGGCTCCGCTGCAGTGTGTTGAGGCACAGGTCTGCTTGCACCAAGGACTTGACAGAAGCTTATTAATGCAAAAAAAAAAAACAACAACAAAAAAAAACACTTCTCTCCTTCTCAGACCTGTGGAAGCTGAATGTCACTGATATGACTATCTTGGCCGTTAGAGGGAACAGCCCCGTCTCACTTTCCTAGAATGCAACTAGGTACAAGTCTCCAGAAGCAACAATTCACCTTTTCAAATTGCAGAGCCCAGAAGTGGCGGAGGGGAGAGAATGCAGCTGCTACAAAACAAGAGAGTCACAGGTGAAAACCGCATCTGAATGCAGCAAGGGGAAATTGTTGGTGTCTAGCCTAAAAACTCCATCTGAGCAGAGGCCACAGATTCTCTGCAGGCTGCGAGGGGTCTATGCAGCATCAAACATATTTTTAAGTGCAAGTTCCCAAGACATTGTAGTTCTACTTTAATGCAATCAAAGCCCTTAAATATACTGAGAAACAAGTGCTTCAACTGCTTAAACATCCTTCACTCAGAAACGAAGCATGAATTTTACTGTGATTAAGTGAAAAGAGCTGAATGGCATCTGAAATGTTTTTAAATCGTTATTTTATTCAGAGTGGTTCCTTTTTAATGATGCTGTCTTAATTTCCCCATAAACCTGTTTCATTTATAGTCATCCAACATTAATATTTATTTTGCTCACTTAATTTTAAAGTAGTCTAAAATTAAAGCTATTACAAATATTCTGCTGCTGAAGGTAGTTCAGCATAGGCACTACCATGAAGGTATTATAGAAAACATGTCCCATATGTTATAGGTGTAGCAAGGCTGGCTAAACACAATACTGTATACTATTTTAATAAATTAAAAAACAAACCATTCTAGAATGTGTTGTAAAATCCACTGCTCAATACATCTTTTTCAAACCTCTGTGCTTGTTTATCTTGGAATTCTTAACAGTGTAGATTTCACATAGTAATGAAAATTATACTTAAGAATCATCGTGTTAAAATACTTCCCATGTTCCTATTTTTTAACATGCTTTCCTTAAAATAAAATCCCCAGTGTTTAACCCATACTGGTTGGCCTGCAAAGATCTCACAACACATTCTAACACTCATACACTCATCTGCTGTACTAGGTAACTACACCACCTTGTTTCTTTCAGGCTTCCTAACTCCTTAGTGCACCCTGACATTCTGCAGCACACTCCCGGCCAAAAGGGCTCAGAGCAGCAGCAACATCAGTACCACTGCAGGAAAATCACAATGGGTTCCTCCTCGGGAAAGACCCAACCTCAAAATCCAACACACTAGCTAGTAATTCATTTTCCTATCTAACAGAAGCTCTTAGCTGAAGCACATGTTGTTATAGCTTCCTTGAACTTTTAGGAAATGTAATGAAAGGCAACATGCCCCAAGGGCATCCCAAATAAACCATTATCAATTTCACGTTCTCTTTTGCGCTAATTTGGACAGGAGGAGAGGAAAAGGAGGCTGCGAGTGCCCTCACCATCCTCGGGGAAAGCCTCCCTGTGCACATGTCCCTGAGCACTGTGTCAGAGCAGACAGGCACGCCAGACACATACACTTCTCTCACTTTTCCAACCCAGGAAGTGCTACCAGTGCCAACAGCATGTTCACATCAATATTTGAGGTTTGTGTTCTAATCATCAGAGGTCATTTTTAATTACATATTTTTAATTGCATACATTTCTTTAAAAAAAAAACTCTCTTCTTGAACTAACTTCAGGACTGAAAGGTTGCTCTCTGCCTCAAGGTTCCCCAGCCCTCACTCAGTAATCAAAGCGGAATGCCTTCAGGTTCTCAAGGGGTTGCTTCTTCCTTTCTGTGCTCCAGGTGGAAAAGCAAAGTGGTATGTGCCTTCTCCTCCACTGCCCCACTTGGTTGTGAATTTGAAGATTTGTTCCCATTCCTCAGCACCTGACAGGCTGTGATTTACACGTGAGAAAACAACTCCCAGGTTCTTACGGAGGAGTCAGAGGCCGCCCCCACCCACCTTAGCTGTTCTTTAGGAAACAGACTGGAAAAGGGGGGATGGGGGATGGGGGATGGGAAGCAGATTCTTCTGAAGCTACACAGATTAACAGAGGTAAATCCAAAGTAATGGAGGCAAATATAAAAAAGAATATTATTTATTACCTTCTTTATTAATACTCACATATAACCTTTGTTTTTACAGAAGTCTACTTTAAAAGAATGCCTCCTTGGTGTGTCACACCCAGTGGGGCTTCCTGCTCCGGAGCGACTGCCCCTTTCCTTGTCCCACCCCTCACATCCAACTTACTCTGTTACAGGTTCACAGATACCACAAAAACTTTGTAAACAAGATTTGGGTTACTGGATCTTGATTTAATCAGCATCCCATTTCAAAATGAAGGACAGGTAGGAGAGAGGGTAAGACATGGAAGAAAGGAAGAGAAAAGGCGGGAGAAGAGAGGACAGCTGGTCAGAACTTTCAAGTCTTGCCTTTTCTGAGATGTGTGTATTGTGACTCGTCCTTGAAATTCAATGACTCAGAACATCGACAGCCAAGCGTCTGTGTGGTTATGTTATACATCTACAACAGAACATGTGGGCTTCCTGGTTTGGGTCTGGACTGTTTCTGTTTAAACACACCACAATCCTCCCTGGGTGTCTCCCATCTACAGTCAGGTCTCCCCGGAAGCCCTCTCAGAGCTGGGGCTTGCGGAGGAGGGTCTTGCTGAGGTCTTTGACCTCCTCCGGGCTATTCACCCGCTCATAACCCAGCACAGCCATGGGCTGATAGCAAAACTCCTCCACCTGTTTGATCTGCTGAAAGGTGAGGGCAGTCCGCCATGCGTTGGCAGCCTGTGTGGCATTGCGCGCAGACACCACGAAAGGCTTGGAGGAGGAGCCCGAACCACTGGTCATGTTCAAGGCAAACTGTTCCATATCGGGGCTCACCAGCAGCCCCACAAAGTCGTACACCCTCCGTAGGGTCTTGACGGGGTCTCCCACCAGGTCCTCGTACCTCACCACCAGGTAGTGACCTTGCAGCCAGTCTGGAGGCTGCAGAGCCGTCTGCAATGTCTTGGCCATGCTGTTGCAAATGACCTCCATAGCGCCAAGTGCATGGTAATCTGCTGGTCCACCCACCCCTTCCTTCTTGCCACCTAGTTTGTGGCCAGCGGCTTCCAGGAATGGCATGCGATGGGCTCGCGGGTCTCGGCTGCGCACCACCTGCAGGCTCTCACGGATGAGACCATGGCGCGAGCGGATACGTGAGCTGGCCACAGCTCGAGGGTCACGGACCAAGTGGATGACCTTGAGGTCCAGGGCCGGGTCACGCAGCAGCGGCGCCAGCACTGCCACATCGAAGACACGCACGCCTTTGATGACTAGGGTGCGGTACTTGCGACACTCCTCCTCAAAACGCGCCAGGCGCTGCGGTGGACACTTCTTGCACACGCGATCGTCCACCAGCCCCACAACCTCCTTGCGATAGGCAGGACAAAGAGGCGAAGAGCACACAACCTTGTTGGTGGCCGCGCCGAAAATGCCCAGTGTGGTGAGGTTACGCCCCCCGCTGCCAGCGGGGCTGTACAGCTGGAAGACTGAGAGGTCGCAGCGATAGAGAGCGCTCAGCATGTCCCTCGCTGCCCCTTGCAGGGAAACCGCGTCCCCTGGGTAGAGTTTTTGCCACACGTGCCACACTGGCTCGTAGAGAAAGAATACCTCGGGGTTCTGGTTGAAGAGCTCACCAAAGAAGGACGAGCCCGAGCGCCACGTGGTGAACACATACACCAACTGCCTCTTGTTCTCGCCACCCCTGGTACCCCGAGTGCTATTACCAGAAGGGGCTGCGGCCCCCGCTGCAGCTGCGGGAGCCACCCCGACGGCCGCGGCGAGGGGGCGGTAAGGGGTGCGGGGGTCCAAGCCGGTGTGTGCGCGGCGCGACATGGCTGGAGGAGGCCCCGGGCGCCCCCAGCCATCCCCAGCCGCTCCCACCGCGGCACCTAGTGGCACGTCGGGGCTGCACTGCTGTAGCGGTTCCTTGTGCCACTTGTAGTCCAGGAGATTGAGCATGGTTAGCACAAGCAGCAGCGCATAGCCCGCGCAGAGCACCAGCGCCTTCCTACGGAACACCTTCATTCCGAGCGGCGACGCGGGCCACCGTCGGCCCGGGCGCCGGGGCCACGGCGGGAGCAGGGCGCGCGCCGCAGCGGCTGGCGCGGCCGGGAGCAACCGGGGCGGCGCGCCCGGGGGCAAAGCTCCCAGCGGGCTGCGGCTCATCACAGGCACAGCCCGGGCCCGTAGTGCGGCGGAGGTGGCCCTACAGCCCGGGGTGGGGACGAAGCGGGCCGGCTTCGGGAGCGAGGACTGGGGCCGCGGCTCCTAGTCGGGCGCGGCAGCAGCGGCGGCTGGTCCCCGGCGCCCAGGATTGGCTCTCCCATGGCAGCGGCTCCGAGAAGGACCTGCGAGGGCAAGCGGAATAAACTGGTGAGCCCCAATCCTCCCCCCAGCCGCCGCCTCTGCCAAAGTAACGCCCACCTTCGGGTCCGCCTGGCTCCCCAGCTCACCTGGAGCCGCGGGCGCGACTCGGAGCGGCCCTGGATCGCAGGCCGGGTGTCTGTCTTGCGGTTACTCGTTCCTCGATTTCTCGCGCACCGCCTTCCCGCTGGGGGTCCCTGTGCCTCCAAGGGGGCCACAGGACTCGGCAGCCCAAGCCCTGGGCCGAGTTTCCGGACAGCGGGCACTCCGCGGCTGGGGAAGGTAAACTTTCACCCGGCCAGATCCGCTCCGCTCTCCGCTGAGCCCAGTGCACCCGGCTCCTGCTGCGTATCCCCCGCCTCCTCCAGACCGCAGCTTCCTTCCTAGCTCCTGGGGCCGAAGCCCGCTGGGGGAGGTTGGGGGGAGGGGGCTTATACGAGACCCAGCTCCAGGCTAAGCGGCTCCGCCTCTCCGACTCTTGGCCTCCGAGCCCCGAATCTCCCCATGTCCCTGGTGGCGGTGGATGGGGCGCCCCGCGACCCGGCGGCAGCGGCAGCAGCTGTTTCTTCCATCACCCAGAGGATGCTCCGGCGGGCATTGCCGGCAGCCCCCGCCGCTCCACAGTCTCCAACTGGCCGGGGAGGACCCTACAGAAAGAGCGCGCGGCTAAGGAGTCCGCAGCGATCCCTTGCCCGCTCTGCTCCCGGGACCAGCCGCTTCTGGCTGACAAGGTATTCGGGCAGAGGAAACCCCTGCCGCCGCCGCCGCCACCGGCCGGAGAGGATGCTGTTTCCAGATTACCCTACGCGAGCGGCTGCGACGCGCTCGGGCCAGCCTCTGCGCGGCTCCCGGCAGGCGGCGCCGGGTTGGTGCGCGCCGCCGTCTGTCGCTGCAGCTCCTCCCCTTCACCGCGCGGCACTCCTCCGCTGCGAGTCCCATGCCCGCCCCCCGCGCCCGCCCCCTCGCAACACCGGCTTTAGGGACTGGAGAAACGGGGCTAGATTTACTGGGGTGCTGCTTGGCCCGCCAAGCGCTTGGCGGAGGCCGTAACAACGCGTGCTCAGAGCTCAGGAGCGCGGACGCGGGGTTCAGAGCACTTGGGCACCACGAGCTGTGGGTAACTTGGATTCTGCGTGCAGCTGTCGGGCTCAGCAGCACATTCTTGCTCTCCAAAAGAGTAGGTGATAAAGTTTGGGCAGAAACCCCCAGCGGCCGCCCACTCTGCTCTTCTCTAGGGGCTGGAACCACCCCCCCCCCACCCCCGCCCGGCCCCTCCGGAAACCGAAGACATCCGCGCCCAGCAGTGCTCGGAGGACGTAGAGCGCCGCTTGCAGGCTTTCCACTACTGGCTCGCGAGTTCTAGCTGGCCTGAGGTTTCTCCCTCACTGAGGAAGTAATAAATCTTTCTGACCCCAGGGTCAAAAAAGACGCTGTCCGGGCACTGTGCCGGCGGGTGCCTTCTCCAGGCTTTATTACAAGTATGGATAGGGCTGTTTTGGGTTTATTACGACCCCCAGCAAATCCATTCCCGGTCTGGGCTAGGAAATGTTGCGACCGCTCTGACTGACTCCTTGGGAATAGGGATACGGGGAGGTGACCCTTTGTTTTAATTTACAGTAAAATACTTATCTTGCTTCTTGGTTTCAGAGATGGGATCAAACGATTTGACCCTAAAGGAAACACTGTTTTTAAAGTGGAAGATCATTTTGAGTTGGCTTAATATTTTTTTAAAAAGATAATGAAGAAAAGCTTCTCTCTCTCCCTCCCTACCCCCTTAACTGAACCAAAGAAGACTAAGCCATAACCTCAGTTTCAGCCGTAAAGTGGGACAATTGTAATAGCCTCCAGTAACTGAAGGTGGTAAGGTGTTAGGTGCCCAAATGATTAGAACCCAGCTAAGTAAGGCCTTGGCTGAATCCGAAATGTCCTGAAGCTCCTGGGCCCAGTGAATAATGCAAATCCGGAGGCGTTTTGTTTGTCTTCTGTCCCAAGAAGTTTTTAGCAGTTTAACAAAGTTAATGCAAGTTTATTTTTGTGCTATTTTGGACAGCCTCTCAACCAGAGGATCCCTCTAAATTTAAAATGTTGCTTTTTGTACTATTATTCTTCAGTGAGACTTACAGAATCTTTTAAGTGCAAGGACTCTGGAAAGTAACTCATGTGGTCTTTCAGCGTAGAAAATAGAAAAATGTTCAAAAACAGGGTTTGACTTAACCCTGTTTTTCAGAAAAAAATCCATAATGTTACAAGTGGCGTTCATATCTCCCCACCTCCACCTCCACCCCCACCCTGTGATCCTGATAAAGTGAAAGGATAAGGCGTTTCTAAGACAGATTCGCTGCAGAGAAAGGAAGAGAACCGGAATTTTATAAGCAGCAGTTTTCTCAAGAAGCCTAGGACAGACAGGCGTTTTAATCCCTGCCCACAGATGCAGGTGGTAGAGTTTGAGGGACTGCCATTTCTTCGTTTCGGGACCCACCTGCCTCGATTCAAGTGCTGACTCAAATGTCCCTGTCTCTTCTTCCCTCTGCCTTTTCCCCACAAAAATGAAAGTTGTATTAGCACATTAAAAGACTGGTGGAAGAGAGAGGGAACTGGGAAGAAAAGAAAATCTCAATCTTTGTATTCAACGTGATTCCAAAAAAATAATTTCTGGTAATTTTCAGTTAGTCTCTGGCTTTGTGATTACTTGAAAAGCATATGAATTGCAGTCACTTGATGTAAGGATCCTTTTTAAAACAATTGTGTAGAAACAATTTTGTGACGATTTTGTAACATTTATTACAGTTGGCAAAAATAGTAAATGCATGTGCCAGACTCTCCTACGTGAGTGTTCAGCTGGCATAAGTTCACAGGTTCCTACATCTCCCTCCACCCTCTCCTTGTTTGCAAACTTTTTGCCATTTTTGTTCAGAAATTCCTTTCATTTTAATCCACTTACCCTTTTTGCAGAATAATAATCCAGACATATATTAAGTCACATAATAATTTCATTGGCAGAGGAGCATCACGCCACAGGGTTGTTCTTAGCTTCAGTCTTTTCCAGGAGGCCCCTTTGCACTCTCTTCTCTAGCGTCTGTTATATGGAATGGAAACCGCTGTTGGAAACTTTCTGTGGCCTTTACCTAATCCCAGACCAAGAGGGGACCTAATATTCTGAGGTGCTGTGGGCCTAGAACCCAGCCTGTGGAACACAGCAGAGACATCTTCCCAGACCGTCCTAGTCTATGTTAGGAAAAGATGTAAGGCTGAGTTGCCTGGACCGTTCCCATCTAGGCGTGTCTGTGTCTCTGGGGCCTGTGAGGTTCCCCTCTGGAGAGTGTCTGCCCCTGTGCACCAAGATAGATTCAGGCACTCATGTTTTCAGCAAATAATAGATTTTTAGTGGATCTTAAGTACACAGAATTGGATTGATCATAATCCTTGATTTATTTATTCTTTTTTTTTTATCCTCACTCAAGGACATTTTTCACTGCTTGCAGAGAGAGACACGAAAAGAGAGAAAGGGACAGAGACAGACTTTGATTGGTTGCTTCCAGTAGGCACCCCAATTGAGGATCCAACTGGCAGCCTAGGTATGTGCCCAGACTGGTGTATGGGGCAATGTTCCAACCCATTGAACCATCCAGCCAGGGCCATAATCCTTGATTTAAAACATGCTGTCATCATCAGTCCAATGATGACCTTACATGATTTTCAATAACATCGAATACTCATCAACCCCTTATACAATAGAACACAAAAGCTCCAGAGGTAACCACTCTACTTAATTTTGTTTAAAAATGGAAATAAAATAGTCAAGTGCCAAGAGGGTGGAAGAGTAGAGGGAATTTCCTTAACTGGTAAAAAAAGAAAAAGAAAGAAAGAAATAGCTGGAATAGTTTTATGATTGTTAAGGAAATGGAGCCGTCATTTAAAATCTTCCCATAAGAAAAACAGCTGGACCAGAGGGCTTTAAAGACGGTTCTGCCAGACTCAAGGGCTAGATAATTTCTATCTTATCCAAACTCTTTCAGAGAATAGAAAGCAAGGGAACACTTCTCCAAATCATAAAAACTAGACAGAAAATAACCAGAGGGGATTTCAGAGCATGAAATAGGTCCTTTCACTGATTAATATATCACATAAAACTCATAAATAAAATATCAGTAAAACAAATCTAACTGAGTGTGGGAATAAAGGCAGCACACTACAACCAACTTGGGTTTATCCCAGAAATATAAGGATACCTTAATACTGACAAATGTTTACTGAGCACCTACAACGTGCCAGTGCTGGTCTCACTCCGCAGGGTTCAGAAGTGGAACAGGCCTGGTTCCTACTCATGGAACTTACACTATAAAGTGGGAGAAGTTCAGTACACATACATTGAGACAGTTAAGATTAATTTAGAGAATGGTAAGTGTTAAGGAAGAAATACAATAGATCAAAGTTGAAGAGAATGCCTGGAAGCATCTACTATAAATTGGAGAGGTGACCCTTGCAAAGAGTGAGGAGCCTGGTGAGGACTGAGTAGGAGCCTGATGTGCAGACAGTGCAGCAGACATGAGGTGGGGATGGGGTTGATGTGTTTAAAGAACAGCAAGAGGCCCAGTGGGGCTGGAGCTCAGAGATGGTTGTGGCCACCTAATTGAGGTGTGTCCTGAATTGCAACACCTAAAAGGGTGTCCTTAACTTTGGACATCAAAAAGTTTGTTAAGAAGAACACAAAAGGATATTATGGGAGACGTGTGCTCATGCAAAGTGGGCTTATTCCAAGAACATAAGCAGCTAATTATCAGATGTGTCATCCTGTTGTTGTCCTTGTTCGAGCACCACTCTCCTCCCCAAAACTCCATCTAGATATGCTCACCCTTCCAGCATCTTCGCTTTAGGACCTAGCTCAGCCATTTACTTTCTGGGTCACATCCTAGCCTTAAAAGTTGGCAACAAAGCCTTGGCGTTTTTTCTGTAGTTTTTCCTTCTAGACATTAGTAGATAAGGACAAGCTAGCTGGACCAGGAGATGTTCCTCTGCCAGGACTACACACAGCACTTTCTCTAGTCCCCCAGCCATCTGCTGCCTGTAGTAGCACCCTCTTGGGTTCTGCTTGCCCCCTATCTGTTCTCCATAGCATCTAAACCACCTCTTCCTATTATTTGTGGCTTTGCTGAGACCTTTGGCCAAGATACCACTCCTCCCAGGAGTCATATATATGACCCAGACTCAGCAAATTAGATGTTCTCTCCAT